GCTAATTACACCCAGCTGTCCCTATAGCTTCGGGCGCAAACTGGGAGTGCAGGAGCGGCAGAGCCTCGGCTTGTGCCGGGTGTTCCTGCAGTGGCTCTTCTTTGCTTGGCACCCTCCGCCTACATGAAATTTAAGCAAGGCTTTTGAATACAGTCCCAATCCAACTGAAAATGCTCTTTCTATATCCATCCTATTAAAGACCCTATTTCCTACCAAAGAAAAAAAATCAGTGTATGTCTGCTCAGGTTGCCACTCCCACTGTGAGCAAACCTCAAGCAGACAGAAGCCCAGACTGGCCCCACATCAGCGTGAAAACCAGCAGAGACAGGGACGGGCGCAGAGCGCTGGGGCCGGCATGTCTGTGCGGGCCGGCTCTGCTACTTCACTGCGCGACCTGGGGCGAAGGACTCCTTTACGGGACCCAGTTCCCGTGTCTGGAATGTGAGGATAAGAGCTGCTGAGCGTAGCAGGTGATGCTGGGAACCGTGGGCACGGAGCCTGCTCGGTGCGCGGACCCAGTCCCGACGCTAGTGGTGCTGTAGTCCCGATTCCACAGCCCTTCCTTTCCTCCATCCGAATCCTGCAGACATGTCAAGGCCTGGCCAGTTTGCTCACCCTCCATAGGCCCTTCCCAACGCAGCCAAGCCGCAAATATCTCAGGGAAAACCACACACAAGAGGTCTTCCGTTTCCCTTAGAAGCCCAAGTTCTGGAGTCAGGCGGGCGTGGGATCCGTCTCGGCTCTGCCGCTTCCTCTCTGAGCCCGTCTGGTTGCGGAGCCTGTGTGAGCGCCGCCGTGTTATCAGGTGGGGAAAATAAACCACCCACCTCCGGGGGTTCTCGTCAGCATCAGGTAAAACTGCGCCTGCGAATAAAGAAGCAGCCAGGACGTCAGCGCCCAGTCGTTTCCCCGGAAGGTGAAGCAGATGGGAAGTGTGTGTATGGAGGGGGGTTGTTTCTGACGATAAATTATCTCGTAAGCAGGACTCGGCTGAGCTGAGTGTCCAGCAGAGGGGTGACTTGCTACCCCCTGCCCCGCAGTCAGCAAATCCTGGGCAAGACTCTAAGGGCTCCGACGTCCGGGCTGCTGGTGTCTGGTCGGCCCTGGGAAGCTCCTTGGTCCTGGATGTTCTAGTCCCTTTTGTTTCGTCTTTTGACGGCCCCGCCAGGACTTTTTAACCCCCCCCCCC